AGGAAAGAACTCAAAGCTACAATGATGTGAATTCTGGCAACTCTTAGTAGCCTTAGGTTTTAAGAGTCAGGGTGTTGAGAGTAAACAGGAGCAGTACATTCCTTGCTTATTTTTCCTCTTAATTCCCCTCACAACCCAAAATCCTTCCTCTGCTACTCCGAAGGGACTGAGAGCAAAAGGTCACAGTATTAACAGGTGATGGTCAGAAAATCTTGTCCATACATCAATGTGACCAAAGCCTAGCCTCCAACATCTCTCACTCAAAACATAACTTAAAATTCTAATTTTCTGCTTTTTAAGTTGTACGTTTAATATGAAACACATGTACTTAGAATAATAAAATTACCTTAATAAGAAGATCTAGGGCTGGGATTTTACATTTAGCAGCTTTATCCTTTGTGTAAACACTGGTACAAGTATTCTAGGTTTTAAAAAGAGACATACCAAAATCATCAATAAGATCTCAGTTCTTCACAACAACTAAAAGTACATCTTTGAGGGGAGCAATAGTCACAAAAACACAAACTAAATGGACACGTGAGCAGGATTAAAAAAAAAAAGCTATGCTTCCATACATACCTCCCATAGCACTTGCTGCCATATATCAAGAAAGCAAGCATCAAAAATTTTAAAAGTAACTAAAGCAATTCAGAGAAGAATGGTTGGGAACAGAACAGCTCAGTCTAAAAAAAGCAAGCAGGCACTCTGGAAGGAGGTCACTTGGGTCCATGTTTTGGGTGAAGTTTCTTAACTTCTAAGTCTCATTTGTAAACTAAGGAGATTAAAAATACCTACCTCAAAGAGTTTTGGTAAAAATAAGTAAGACAAACTGTACCATGAAAGAACTTTGTAAACTATGGAGCACTCTACAGATGTTAGTTACTCCTACCGTTGAAGCAATTTTTTTAAAATACAGTTGACTCTTGAACAGCACAGGCTTGAACTGTGCAGGTCCACCTGGATACCCAGATTTTTTCTGATAAATACAGTACAGTACTGTAAATGTATTTTCTCCTATGATTTCCTGAATATTTTTCTCTAACTTACTCAACTATAAAAATACAATCTGTAATACACATAACATACAAAACATGTGCTAATCAACTATTTATGTTTATCAGTAAAGCTTCCAGTCAACAGTAGGCTACTGGTAGTTAACTTTTTGGGGAGTCAAAAGTCAAATACATGGATTTTCAACTGCATGCAGGGGGTCAATGTCTCTAACCCCCTGTTGTTCAAGGGTCAACTGTGTTAGGATTCCAAACCCAAAAGGCTAGAAATCAAAAGAAAATAAAATTAAAACCTATTAAAAAAAAGATTGATGATTATTATGTCATATATTAGGGTTAATTATAATTAATAAAATAACTTCTTATAAATTACCCCAGATTGAATATATACTTCTTCATCAAATCTTAGCATCCAAGAACTAGAAACAATTCGGGACCAATAAAAACAACTTAACTTTTGGCACTTGTTCAAAGTATAAACAAGCCTGAGAAAGAACAACTTTATGATTACTAGTTCCACAGTAAATTATGAGGACACCTGGGGAAGGCAGGTGGAAAGAGAACAGGAGGCACAAGAAAGGCAAACTTCAAACTGCTGCCAAAGGCACACATGAAGGACATGAAATAAGAATCTTACCCAGAAGAATTCTTTAAAATTTTTAGAGTTTTGAAATCTCCTCACAATTCAAAAAACCAAATTTATTATGACTTTTTATAAAATACATTATTTATCCCATGTGCAAAAAGTTATCAAAGTAGTTTCTGACAAGGGCCTTACCTTACTAAATCTATAAAAAGAACAGCCCACTTCATTTCTAGCCCACAATCAAGCACAAATAAACTCCTTGATGAGAAAGGCAGGAATAAAATATAAACCCAAATTTAACTCACAGCATAAGTTAAAATAGATGTTGGTATATAATGAGATATGTTTTTTCTCCTTACCTTAATTTCAAGAGAATAAGGTGTGATCTTCTGGCCAATTTTTTCTATGAAAATACATAAAAATTTTAAGACTTCTTCTCTACAATCACGAAACTATAATGAAAGAAATAAACATTGTAGTAAACGTGGGCAAGAGTCACTCCAACATAAAGGAATGTACAAGAAAAGGAAAATGAAATCTTCAACTTACTTCATCAATGCTAAGTGACTTCCGAACAAATACAAGCAAACCAAAATCTTTGGAAAAAACTAAGGAAGTCTGTAACGCTGGATTAAAAAAAAAAAAAAAAAAAGGTAAGAGAGCTGCCAAGAAGCACTCCATAAACCCACCCTAAATGGGCTGCATGTTTCTCAATTCAGCCTTACAAGCAAGTAAACACTAACTTAAGGCTGCTGTATTTAAACAAGGAAAACAGGAGACTCTAGGTGATTTTCCACTGGGATGACACAGGCAGAATAACGGACCCTAAGATACCTGAGCCCTAATCCCAATATCACACGTGTGAATACACTAACTTTACGTGGAAAAAGGAAATTAAAGCTGCAAATGAAATTAAGGTTGTTAATCAGTTGACTTAAAAAAGGGGGGGAGAATTATCCTGGATTATCCATGGGTCCAATATAATCACACAAGCCCTTACTAGTGGAGAAGAGAGGAAGAAAAATGGAAAGAGAACAGGCGAGAAGAGAGCTTCCAAGCACAGGAGTTACTAGACCCATGCTGGCTTTGAAGATGGAGGCCATGAATCAAGAAATGTGGGTGGCTTCTACAAGCAGGGAACATCAGGAAGGAAAAAGGAACTTTAGTCCTATAATTGCAAAGAATTCTGCCAACCTGAATGAAAAAGGAAATGGATTCTACACAAGAGCCTTTAGAAAGTGAAGTGACCTGCCTGATGCCTTGGTTTTAGTTTGGTTGAGACCCCTGCTGGGCTTCTAACTACCAAATTGTAAGATTGTTAAATCTATGTTGTTTTAAACCATTAAGCTTGTGGTATTTGTTACTGCAGCAACAGAAAACTAATACATTCCTCTATAACCTTCCACCTGAAAAAACATACTAAACATTCAGAGTAAACTTGGAACTGCTTTATAAACAAGTTAACTAAAGGAACAAAAAAGGAATTCTAACTTAGAAACTCTGAGACTAGGGGTGCCTGGGTGGCTCAATCGTTAAGCATGGAACTCTTGATTTCATCTTAGGTCATGATTTTATGGTAGTGAGATGGAATCCTGCATGGGGCTCCATGCTCAGTGGGGAATCTACTTGAGATATTCTCTCTCTCTCTGCCCCTACCCCCTTTCTAAAATTAAAAAAAAAAAACAACCTTTGAGACTAGAAAGCATTTACATGTTAGTTTTTTAAATTTACTTCCCATTAATAATATATCTTTGACAATATATAGGTACTAGATAGCATCAAAAGTTTTCTTGTAATGATATATTTTAAAAGTGCTGAAAAGAGGCACTTTTACTACAAAGGAGCAAAGGATTCTCATTCAGGGACTGCTAAAAAAGTTAAAAGAACTGCAGAACTGTACAGTTACATTTCTGCAATGCTTCTCAGAAGTAGGAACAGCAAACGTAAGAGTTGCAAAAATGTACTGGTGGGTTTAGGCGCTTTCAAAAAAGGTGAAAGAAAATACATTCCTTTGGTTCCCTCTGCCACCTTTGCATAGCAATGATTGCCAAATTTAGGGTACTTTCACCAACTTTACTTTTAAAACACCTTTACCCTGCTAAGAAAAAAAGCAGCATGACAAACCAGTTTTTATACACAACCACAGAAATTTCGACAATCCAGAATCAAACGACTGGACTTTTTCAAAACACTGTTAGATAAACCCACCAGGACAGAAACTAGACTATCAGGCCCCGCCGCCCCGGCACAACCGGAAAACGCGAAAACCGCAAACGCGCACGCGCGTTGGGACCCTCCTTGGCGCGGCCGAGACAGTACCCACCCAGCACCGCGGGGCCGGTGCTCAGTACGCACTCCTGTCCCAGGCCCCGGATCAGCTGATAACTGGCCATCGCGGCGCTGCAGCGGTCACCGTGAGACAAGGACTCCTGCAGCTGCAGTAGAGAACCCCGCATGCCAGACGCAGAGTCAGCCATCACGCTCAGACCCGGCACTGCGCTTGCGCCCCAAAATGCCTTGGGGCACGGGGGTGGGGCTCACGGGTACGGGGGCGGGGTTCCCAGGGCAGGGATGGGGCTCGCGGTGGCGGGAAACTTCTGGGGGACCCTGAAAGGAGGGGTCTTCTCCGTAGGAAGAGCCCATTAGATGTCAATTAAGATATTGGCAGGTCAATGAATGTGTTGCATACAATACACTTAGAATGCATACATCGGAGCTTAGAGAGAAACAGGAATCTAGAGATTTGACCTCCGGAAATGGGGAGGATGGTTGGTGAATTAGAGTTGACTAAACACCGCAGGCAGGAAAAAAAGACAAACTAGAGGCTTGGGTCAAGATCTACAAAGTAGTCCCTTGATAAAGAGTGAAAAATTCATGTGTAATGTCTTTAGAAATGAAGATGCTTAAGGGATAAAGGATATTCTCCTTAGCCAACAATACAGCGTAGATCAACCCCTCGGCGAACAGTCCGGCGGGACTCCCCAGGTTTCCCGCGAAAACGCAGTCTAGCAGGGGGCCAGACCATCTAAACGGAGGGGGGAACCGAGCGAGGCTTGCGTCTGCCTTCCGTGGGGCGCCGAAGGAGGCCGTTCAGTCCCCCCTGTTGGTGCACAGTGGCACCTCCCGGAGGCGGAGCCATACGAGAGCGCTGCTGTGATTGGTGGGGCACCGCCGAGGGCGTTGACGATGGTGCTGCCGGCGCGAAACCTTGTTCCGCTCGTGCGGTGTAGGAGAGCGACCCACCAGGTGCGTCCGGGTGCCCTGCGGGCGTCAGAGGCGAGCTTCCCCGGTAGCAGCGTGTGGGCTGGGGTGGCGCGCGATGCGGAGCCCAGAGAGGGTATCTGTGCGGTGGGGAGGGAGAAAGCCGGGGCGGATGCGGGTGGAACCTGCCCTTTTCTCGCGCAGATTCTACGAGCAGCATGTCGTCCCCGGCGTCCACCCCGAGCCGCCGCGGCAGCCGGCGCGGGCGGGCTACTTCTGCGCAGACGCGTAAGTCCCTTCCCGTGAGTCGAGCCCGCCACGTTACCCTCCCTTCCCCTCTTCGGGCTTTTTCCCGCCACCCCAGAAAGGCCTGGTCTGTGCGCCTGATTTCTGGCCCTGAGCGCAGTCTTTAAGTCCCAGGTGGAGTAAGATGTGAGGACGGCGAGCATTTGCTCATGCTCTGTCAATTCTAGTGTGCAGATACTTTTTTTGTGAGGCGGGCAGTGCTGGGCCCTCCTTTCCACCATTTCTAATTGTTAGGCATGTCCGTGCCCATTTGTCTTTGTTTTGTTTGGTTTGTATTTGTTCCCAAGAGACTTGATGGAACTCCCGGAAGATCAAACGTGAGAATTGATGGCCATCTTTTCTGTGTTCTATGTCACAAGCTCGAAGTGAAGATGCCAGGTCGTCACCATATCAGAGACGTAGAGGCGAAGAGTTTACCTCTACAGGAGAGTTACAGCCTATGCCGACCTCACCTGGAGCTGACCTGCAGAGCCCTGCCGCGCAGGATATGTTATTTTCCAGCCCTGCTCAAATACATTCCTCAAGTATATTTTTGGCGATCTAAGTTCTACTGTGGTTAATATATGGATGATGCTTTAGCTGGTCAGATTTACTGGTTTGTTAACGGGTAGTTTTTGTAACCGGACATGAGCTAGTATGTTCACTAAGAGTACAAAGATAGGTACACTTTAGGGCTTAGTGAACAGAGAAAAAAAGTTTTGGTGCTTTTTTATACTAGAAGGTTTAATAGTCCTCAGAATCTTAACCACCACAGGTTACAAGGAATATTATTTGCTCTTGTGCTTAGATGACTTAAATCAACATGCTGTAGTTTAGGATTTGATAGGCCACCAGAATTTTATTGTAGACTTTCAAATTTTGTTTTTATAGCAGTTCCCCTTGACTTTGACGTTAGTTCACCGCTGACATATGGCACTCCCAGCTCTCGGGTAGAGGGAACTCCAAGGAGTGGTGTTAGAGGCACACCTGTGAGGCAGAGGCCTGACCTGGGGTCTGCACGGAAGGGCCTGCAGGTGGATTTGCAGTCTGATGTGGTGAGTACACAGTACAGTCTTCTGATAGGGGCATTTGGGGAACATAAAATGGGTAATTCCCTATTAACTGGTTCTATCATATTTTTCTGTATAGCCAGCAACAGAAGATATAGTGGCGAGTGAGCAGTCTATAGGCCAAAAACTTGTGATTTGGGGAACAGATGTAAATGTGGCAACATGCAAAGAAAATTTTCAGGTGAGCTGTACCTTAATACTTTAGGGTTCTGAAAATGCTGGGAGAAAAGGTTTATAAACAGTATCTCAGTAGCTGTAACACTGGGGTAGAGTTTTAGGTGGCTTAGAATTGTTGATGTTTTTAAAAAGAAAAAATACTATTTCCGTCTGTCTCCAAATAGTGACATACTCATAATATTTTGCATTTTGAGTAGTTGTTATTCCTAATGCATCAAACTTACTCTTTTTCTCTCCACATCAAGAGATTCCTTCAGCGTTTTATTGACCCTCTGGCTAAAGAAGAGGAAAATATTGGCATAGATATTACTGAACCTTTGTACATGCAACGACTTGGGGAGGTAATCAAATAGTCTTATAAAATCAAATTAATGCATTTAAAACAATCAGCAGAACAAAACTTCTTTGTTTTCTCTTCTAGATAAATGTCATCGGGGAGCCATTTTTAAATGTAAACTGTGAACACATAAAATCATTTGACAAAAATCTATACAGACAGCTCATTTGCTACCCACAGGTAAGATTTTGATTTTGACCTTGATGAATTATAGTAAACATCCAGAACACCTAGAGGGTTTTTGAATAGCAGAATTTCCTGGATAGCAGAAAGAATGTGCCTCCAGAGCACCACAACTTAAGAAAATCATATTTCTTCTCCTTTAAGATGAACATTTCCTCACACTTTCACGTTTCCAAAATTGGGATGTGTATTATTGTCAGTGGCAGGTCATAGTCTAATTGGCAGGTTTTTCTTAATAGTTTTTAAAATAATGGTGAATCTTAAAATCCATAGCTGCTTGGGTTGGATGAAGTAAATTATCCTAAGTGAAAAAAAAATTTTTTTAAGATTTATTTATTTCAGAGAGTGCACACACGCAGGAGGTGGCGGGGGGTGGGGGGACAGAGGGAGAGGGATGGATAGTCTTAAGCAGACTCCAGGCTCATTGCAGAGCCCCAGTTGGGGCTGGATCTCATGATCCTGAGATCATGACCTGAGCTGAAATGAAGAGTCAGACACTCAACTAACTGTGCCACCCAGGCATCCCTTAAGCAAAAATATTTTATCAATAAATGCATTACACTGTGTGCTATCCATAGCAGATTATGTTAACTGTGTTGTAATCTTTTTCTTTTTTTGTTTTTTAATTTGGGGTGGGAGGGACAGAGGGAGAAAGAGAATCTTAAGCAGGCTCCAGACCCAGCGCAGAGACTGACACGGGGCTCGATCTCACAACCCTGAGATTATGCCCTGAGCCAAAATCAGGAGTCTGGCGCTTAACCAACTGAGCCACCCAGGCGCCCTTATAACCTTTTTATTTTATTTATTTTATGTCAGATTTTATTATTCAAGTATCAGCTATATTTGTTTTATATCTTGATCTTGCCGTTTAATAGCTGTGTGACCTTGGTCAAGTTCCCTAACATAGAAGTTATGAGTTCTGAGTTCAGAAACTTTTCATTACTAATTAAAAGCCTAAGATATATCAGTACATCGTGAAGGTTTCATATATATGACCACCTTTAACCCAAATGAGAATATGCAGAGGTGAGAGAGCTCAGTCTCAATGTACCTAAGGTTTTTAAACAGCATGTTTGTGATTATATAGAGATGATACTTAAGGATTATGCCAGTTGTATTTGTTTTTATACTTTGCTAATATGAAATGCTTTATTTCTTGTATTTAATTCTATGATGGGAATATAAACACAGCTTGGCTTCTTTACACTTATTTTTATAGGAAGTTATCCCAACCTTTGACATGGCTGTCAATGAGATCTTCTTTGACCGTTACCCTGACTCAATCTTAGAACATCAGATTCAAGTAAGACCATTCAATGCATTAAAGACGAAGAATATGAGAAACCTGAATCCAGAAGGTAATGTTTTTTATTTTTTTAATTTTTTTTTATTTTATTTTATTTTTTTTAAAGATTTTATTTATTTATTTGAGAGAGAAAATGAGAGACAGAGAGAGAGCACATGAGAGGGGGGAGGGTCAGAGGGAGAAGCAGACTCCCTGCTGAGCAGGGAGCCCGATGCGGGACTCGATCCCGGGACTCCAGGATCATGACCTGAGCCGAAGGCAGTCGCTTAACCAACTGAGCCACCCAGGCGCCCCCAGAAGGTAATGTTTTTTAATAGCAGGAAAATATGTAAAAATAAAATCTTATTTCATCAAGGAATTTTAAAAGAATTGGTATTTTTTTACCAATGGTAATAGTAATAGTGGTAATAGATTATAAATTGACTAAATATATGGGAGATTCATTTACCCTATATGCCTTTGAACCCACCCTACCTTCTTTTAACTTAAGTGAAATTACATAAAAGAGGTTGTAACTCTTGACAATTCTCTATCTTAAGGTGAACTTGCCCAAATGTAATAATTTTACAGTTACTAAGTAGGCACGTTTTGAAAATCACTGCAGAAAACAAATACAAAATATAATCCCTTCTTTGGAGCTTAAAAAAGGAATCTAGTGTGGGGGGCACCTGGGTGGCTCAGTGGGTTGAGCATCCGACTCTTGATTGTGGCTTAGGTCATGATCTCAGGTCCATACTCAGTAGGGATTCTGCTTGAGGATTCTCTCCCTCTCTCAGATGATTAAATAAATCTTTAAAAAAAAAAAATCTAGTTTGGAAAGTAAATAAAACGTAGAACAAGAGAGCAGTGCAGGAGATGTCTCAGCCCAGGGAGGGAAGGAGAATGCTAGACCCAGGTAGGACGAGTTCATGGTAAAAGAGGAATTTGAATTATAATAAGGATTTGGAAAGCAGACATGAATGAATTCACACTGGACAGCACAAAGGGGTTGTAGGCAGAAGCAAAGCAGAGCTATACGCAGGTTATAAGTGCTGGCTGATGAAGAAAGTAAGGGAGGAAATGTTTGTGTGAGGGCTGGAAAGCCTGGGTCCTGAAGAGCTTTGAATTCCAATTTAATACAGATTTTTATTCCAGAGTCAGTAGGGAGCCATTGATACTTTTTCAGAAGAAAATGAGAAAGCTTTTGCTACTCTTGAGAAGTTCATGGTGGGTCTAGTGTTTTGAAGTTCAGTTAAGAGACTTTAATAGTAGCTCCAGTATGGAGCAGCAGGGTCCTAAGCTGGACAGCGGCCATAAGAGTGAAATTCAGGACAAACATGGCATTTGCTGTATGTGAAGATTAAGATACAAAAACTATTGAGAATTTATAAATAGCCCCATAGCTGAATGCACAAAAGACACAAATGTCACTATAAGAAAATAAAAGAGCTAACAAAGGAGCAAGTGTTGGAGTTCACTGTTGAATAAAGGAATACATATTTTCTTATGAAATTCGTTCCCGACCTTGCTTCTGTGATAGGGTATTCAGTGGAGACATTGGAGGAAGTAGGAGACTGAGAGTGCTATAGTTCATTTTTCAGAGGCAGAGCATTGGTACATGAATTTCAGGTTAAGACTGGAGACTATCATAATTTCAGAGGAAGAGGAATTGCCAGATACTCAACTGATTTTAAAAGTTTTTAACTTTTATGTTGATTTGTGTAACATACTACAGAGTTTACTTTTTAAAGTAAAATAAGGATTGGTAGGGAAAGAAGAAAGGAAGATTTGTAAGTAGGTAGAAGGGAGGACAAGACCAAGTGGGAAAGACCTTGTGAAGCAGCAATAAGTACTGGAAGGCTGAGACAAACTACAAGGCCCGCTGTGGCTAACTACAGGCCATGTTTTGTTGATTATGAATAACTATAAGTCGTTTGGAATCAGCAGTGGGAATTAGTTATGTTAAAGTTTTCTTATCAGGGAAAGTCCAAACCAGGATCAAGAGTGAAAAATATTCTATACAAGGGCTTTCTTAAATAGATGGTAATGATTGGCTAAGTTATACAGTGCTTATTTCTGCCAAGTACTGTTTTTTGTTTTTTTGTTTTTAAAGATTTTATTTATTTGACAGAGAGAGACACAGCGAGAGAGGGAACACAAGCAGGGGGAGTGGGAGAGGGAGAAGCAGGCTTCCTGCTGAGCAGGGAGCCCGATGCGGGACTTGATCCCAGGGCCCTGCGACCATGACCTGAGCCGAAGGCAGACACTTAACGACTGAGCCACCCAGGTGCCCCTTTTCTTTTTTCCAAGTACTGTTCTTATTAGGCTTGATGTATGCAGGCTCTTAATCTTCAACAAGTGTAAGGTAGGTGCCATTACTGCCATGTGTAGATGGGCACAGAGAGGCTAAGAGTGTCCCCAGGGTCACACAGGTATTCAGCCCAGACCATCTGGCTCTGGAGCCAATGCATTTCACATACACTGAGACAGCAGGACTTCCTCATGATACAGTGCATGAGGCAGAAGTCCATGGGGCAAAGAAGGCAAAAGTGTAAAGATTCTAATGCAAACCCAGAAGGTGGAAGGGAGCAGGGGCTAGATGAGCAGGAAGGTGGTGGATGCCTGTTGGACAGAGGGCCATGGGGCAGAAGGCCAGAGGTCCCATCGGAGTTGAGAAGGAAGACAACACAGGAAGGGCATCCCAGGCCAGACCTGAGGATACCCAGTGAAACATTCATGCCCTGGCCACAGCACCTACCTGTGACCCCAGCCATCCCCAGGTACCTCTGCATCTCCCAGTAAGATTCTCCTGGGCTTGATGGCAGACCCAGACCTGCCCCGGCAGGAATATAGCTCAGGGAAGAGACCACCTCTGGCTGGGCTGTGGGCAGTGGCTGATGGATAAACTGACCTCTCTCCCCATCTCCTTGTAGACATCGACCAGCTTATTGCCATCAGTGGCATGGTAATCAGGACATCCCAGCTGATTCCAGAGATGCAAGAGGCCTTCTTCCAGTGCCAAGTGTGTGCCCACACAGCTCGGGTGGAGATTGACCGTGGCCGCATTGCTGAGCCCTCTGTTTGTGAGCGCTGCCACACCACCCACAGCATGGCGCTGATCCACAACCGCTCTGTGTTCTCTGACAAGCAGATGGTATGTGCCTTCTTGGGTGCCCTGGAAGGCCTCCCCTTTGGCATATTAGTGCTTAAGGCTTCAGCTTTGGGATGGGAATGTTCCTTTTTTATTGCCAGTGAGCACCAGGTCGTTATATATGCCATGTTCTCATAGCCTAAGATACTTTATAATAAGAAAAATGCATTCTTTCACTATTACCTCCACTTTTTGACTTATTAAATTTAATGTGAGGGGTGCCTGGGTGGCACAGTTGGTTAAACGTCTCATTTCTGTTCAGCTTAAGAGATCAAGCCCCGCATCCAGCTCTGTGCTTAGTGCAGAGTCTGCTTTAGACTTTTTCTCCCTCTACCTCTAGCCTTCCCCCGCCCCTCCCCCTTCCCCTCTCTCTCTCAAATCTTATTTTAAGGTTTTATTTATTAATTTGAGAGAGAGAGTATGCACGAGCATGGGGAAGAGGGAGAGGGAGAAGCAGGCTCCCGCACTGAGCAGGGAGCCCGATGCGGGGCTCAATCCCAGGACCCTGGGCTTATGACCTGAGCCGAAGGCAGTTGCTTAACTGACTGAGCCACCCGGGTGCCCTAAAATAAATCTTTCAAAAAAATTTTAACATGAGATGTTTCTATAGGAAATATTTAAGCTTGTAAAAAGATTTAGTCTATCAGACAAAAGCATGTAAAACATACGATCAGTAAAAATTGGGGTGCCTGGCTGACTCAGTTGGTAGAGCATGTGACTCTTGATCTTTGAGTTAGAAGTTTGAGCCCCACATTGGGTGTAGAGATTACTTTAAAATATTTTGAAAAATATATTGGTAAAAATTACTTGGTTAAATTTTGTCATTTTGCAGTTGTTCTGCTAGTACAGGATGAGTTGACCATTTTTCTGAAGTTTTTCTCACACATTTTAAAGGAAGTTTGGCTTTTGTGTCTTTAATGAAATTTTTTTTAAAGATTTTATTTATTTTAGAGAGCGTGTGCACAGGGAGGGGCAGAAGGGGAGGGAGAGGAAGAAAGAATGACGCAGACTCCACACTGAGTGCAGAGCCCCACATGGGGCTCAGTCTCACAACTGCGAGATCATGACCTAAGCCAAAACTACGAGTCGGATGCTTGACTGACTAAGCCACCCAGGCACGCCTTTAATAATGAAAATGTTAAGATGAAGTTATTAAAACAACATAGAAATAAGTGGGAAAAGTCAAAATCATTTATTTGCTATGATTATAATGGTGTTAAAATAGGCACAGGGACAAGGACTGTTAAGTTTTTTTAATTTTGTTTCAATGTTTAAACAACTTTTTAAAATTTAAATAAAATACGTTCAGAATACTACAGAGTTGGGGGCACCTGGGTGGCTCAGTTGGTTAAGCGGCTGCCTTCGGCTCAGGTCATGATCCCAGGGTCCTGGGATCAAGCCTCACGTCAGGCTCCCTGCTCAGCAGAGAGCCTGCTTCTCCCTCTCCCTCTGCCTGCCTCTCTGCCTACTTGTGCTTTCTCTCTCTATCTCTCTGTCAAATAAATAAATAAAATCTTTAAAAAAAAAAATACTACAAAGTTAATTTCCATATGGGGACTCAATAAGAAAAATACTAGCAAATGTGAAAAAGTGTTCAATGTTTTTACTAACCAAAGAATTGAAAATTATAGATATAAATTTTCATCTAATATTGCTATCAATTATTGGAGCAAATGTACCTCAACTCATGCCAGGATGGTGCTGAGAGCTAGAGATACAAATGTGGAACTGTGCTCCCCAGGAGCTTATAGTGTAATATTCTTTCTTAGAATGCTTCAAAGACTCCCAAACTGACTTGAAATAAAACTTAGTATCCTAGAGTAGTCTCCAAACTATGTGGCCCAACATCGTCACCACAACACACCTTTGTACCCACAGACCTCACTGATGGTGTCTCAACCACTTCCTTATATAGGGCTTCTCAGCCAAGCACAGGTTTGCCCTCAGGACCTTTGCACTTGCTGTTCTTAGCATTCAGAACACATGGCTTCCTCCCTAACGTCCCCTAGACCTCTGCTTAGAGGTTCCTTGATCTGAGAAAGGCCTTCCCTAACCTTGCTTTATGAAAAGTGTCTCCTCCACCCCCCACTGCCCATGTTCCTTGCTCTTTTTTTCTTCTGCCCATTACATTTGTCATTGTCAAATGTGTATTGTCTGTCCTCACTGCACTCTGAGGGAAGACTTCATTCACTGTGGAGTCCCCAACACCTAGAACCGGGGTCCAGCACATGCCAGGTGCTCAGCAAATACCTGTTAGATGAGTAACCAGCCTAAGTGTTTATGAGGTGCACGCAGTGACTAGGAGAGATGCACAAAAGTGCTTAACCATGAACCTGAAAAGTATGTACTTCTCCACCCAGGAAATCTCTAGAAGTAACTGCTAAAAACATAATTAGAAATTTAGACAAACATTTATACAAAGCAGTATCCACTACAACCTTGAAATGGCAAAAAACAGTCATGTAAATCATTGACCACTCCCCCCCAGATAGAATTTGTAAATACACAATATCTTTACAAAATGTATGTTCATATCACATTAAAGGTTTTTTGTTTTTTTTTTAAAAATGTTAGATATCTGGAGATAAAAACAGAATGGTTTTTTTTTTTTTAAGATTTATTTATTTGAGAGAGAGGTAACACAAATACAAGCTGGGGGAGGCAGAGGGAGAAGCAGGCTCCCCACTGAGCAGGGAGCCCAATGCGGGACTCAATCCCAGAACCCTGGGATCATAACCTGAGCAAAGGCAGATATTATACTGAGCCACCCAGGTGCCCCAAGGATGGTGTTTTTAAAAATGTGGTAGGGGTGCCTCGGTGGCTCAATCAGTTGAGTGTGGAACTCTTGCTTTTGGCTCAGGTTGTGAGATCGAGCCCTGCAGCTGGCTCCGTGCTCAGCTGGGAGTCTGCTTCCCTCCCTCTCCCTCAATCCCTCCCCCACTCAGGTGTACACACATGCATGCATGCTTTCTCTCTAAATAAATGAAATCTTTTTAATAAAATAAAAATGTGGTAAACATAAAAAATAGAGTGGAACAAAGACTGGCAGTTTTGTCTAAATTATGCTTGTCATTTCCTGAGTTTTCTGTTTCCACTGCTCTTTCAGATCAAACTTCAAGAGTCTCCTGAAGATATGCCTGCAGGGCAGACGCCTCATACTGTCATCCTTTTTGCTCACAATGATCTTGTTGACAAGGTTCAGCCTGGAGACAGAGTGAACATTACAGGTAAGAATGAAGGCTGTATTAATAAGATAAGTATGTCTTGCTTTTTTTTTTTTTTTTTTTTTTTTGGTACTTTTTAGTCAGTCCTTTGGCTTGGTCATGAATTCATTGGCATGAGGCTTGGTCCTGCCTGTAATGCTTCAGTCACTTTTTTACCTAGCAGTATGGAACCTTTCAGTGCGTTGTCCTTGCAGTTGCTTGCTCTTTGCTATCTCAGTGTTCCAGAGCTGTGAGTGTATTTTGACCTGATAGCATTGGTATCTTGAAAAAACAACTCAGACAAGACTAGTGTTGGTAAGATTCGAGTTATACCAGCAGCTCCAGGAAGCAGCACTCAACAATTTTGGAATTTTAAGTAATTTGCTACTTATTTCCCAAATGTACAGCCAAGGGTTAACATTTACTTATTATAGAGAGGAAATGGGTCAGAGCACCTTGCTTCTGTACAGGAGTTACATTATGGTATTTTTAGAGGAAGCGGAGATTCAGAGACTTGGAGCTCACGGTAGCTGAGGTTCTATGGTAATCTGTGACACAAGGTTCCTCCTCTCTTCTGGCCAAGAAAGTGCTCATTCCACTGTACCATGTGAATACGCCAGTCTTTCTCTTGGTGCTTCAGAGCAGCATGAGCACTGGTTTCTCAAAGGGGCTGTGTTTGTGTGGACAGTAGGCACAGTTCATTGAGGTCAAGGTGGGGACTGAGTCCAAGGAGTGGCTGTGGCTCTTGGTGTAGCCCGTTGGTTGTGTTCAGTGAGTTAGGACTTCTCATCATGTGTCTTCCCAGTATGAAGCCCAACAGCTGCCCATAGCAATCTTAAGTTATAAAAGCACTTGTAGTCCACTAACAACGTGAAAGAATGTGTCATTAGTGAAAGATGTGCAGTCCTCGTTCTGCCATCCTACTTGTCTGAATCCTTTGATAAAGTGTTTAATCTGCTATTTTAATATCCTCAACTGCCAAGTGGAATTAATGTGATGATACAGGTGAACGTATTTGGGGATGGGGGCTGTGGAAAGCACCATATAGATGTAAAATAAGTATTGATGTTGTTCTGTGATGATTAATCATTACAAGCACCAGTAAAGATAACTAGGCCACTTTAGTCATCCATCCCTAATTCAGCTTGCTATGAAGAAGGTTGTGTACTCCCAGAATGTTACATATAAACTGGTTTTTATGTTTTAAAAAAGAATTACATTGACCTGTTAAATAAACAAAAGGATTGGTGATCTATGGTAAGTTGCTAAGAAGCCTGTGATAGAGCAGATGCTTGCTCCTCAGAAAACAAGAAATTGGATTGTCCCAGAGTCCAAGGCTTCTAGATTGAAAGTCAAAAAAGATTAACATCACAAATGTCAGTTTGGGAAACTTCTTCTTGGAGAACAAATGAGTTGGTATGGTTGAAGGGTTGATTGTTCATTTATTTCTTCTAATGTTCTTAAATTACATTCTTTAGGAAGCGTGTGAGGTTATGGCCATTCACCTAGAAACACTTCTTATTAACATGTAGTAATTTTTCCTTTACCATATTTTTACCTTTGACTCAGTAGACTGTCTTGTCTGTGAAATAATTTTTGAGTAATTTTTTTAAAGATTTTATTTATTCAAGTCATTTTTAAAAGAGTTTTTAGGATTTCCTTTCCAAATTTTTGGTACAGGATTTTAGTACTTTGTTCTAGCCAAATAATTACTTAGCAGATTCTGTACATTCAACTTAAGAGAAATGAAAATACCATTTAAAAATACCATTTATTGAACACAGCTGTAGGCCAGCATTGTGCTAAAGCCAGAGTAATTTCATTTAAATCTCAGAATGATTATGTGCAGTATGGTTATACTCAGATAGGTACCCAAGAGCTAACGGATGGTCACAGATGAACGTGTTTTTAGGTCTGCTTTTTTCAAAAACCTGTGTTCTTCCCAACTTGCCTTGCCCCCTTCAGCAGGGAGCTTTGCAGTATAGGCCTGAGTCCTTGACTCTAGGAGGGCCATGAAGGCAGTGTGCTCAAAACTCACTTCCACTGCCAGCCCTCAGATCTTTTAAGTGCTGCCTGCTAGTTTATGAGCCATTTAGGGAAGGTAAAAGCATCTCTCTTGGTTGTGCCCTCAGGCATCTATCGAGCTGTTCCTATTCGAGTCAACTCAAGAGTGAGTAACGTGAAGTCTGTCTACAAAACCCACATTGATGTCATTCACTATCGGAAAACTGATGCAAAACGTCTGCATGGCCTTGATGAAGAAGCAGAGCAGAAACTTTTTTCAGAGAAGCGGGTGGAATTGCTCAAGGAACTTTCTAGAAAGCCAGACATTTATGAGAGACTTGCATCAGCCTTGGCTCCAAGCATTTATGAACATGAAGATATAAAGAAGGTAACAGTGGACTTTTAACTTTGATCAGGATTTATAGTTCTTTGAGATCAAAAGGCATGAACATCCCCCCCTACTGCCATCACCCTCCCCTCCCCCAAAGGATAAGAACTGTGGCCTGGTCCACAGAGCAAGGTGCTCACCATCTAACTTGGTTATTGGTTGACAAGAATCCCAGCATCCTTGTTCATTTCCTCATATCTACATTGAACTTACATGTTTCTAAACATAACAAAAGCCAGGTGGGGTCAGAATAAGGATTTACATGGCCACCATTCTGGCACAGTTGTATGTGCTTCTATAAATTGGTTAGTGATAACTTAAAGCACTATTGTGTTTATACCTTCCCTTAATTTAATTACGATTTTTTATTCACAGGACAAGAAAATACCTCTAACATTTAAACTAGATCTCAGTTACTCTGTAGTAAGTGAATATTTAAACATGTTTGTTTAGGGAATCTTGCTTCAGCTCTTTGGTGGAACAAGAAAGGATTTTAGTCACACAGGAAGAGGCAAATTTCGTGCTGAGATCAACATCCTGTTGTGTGGTGACCCTGGGACCAGCAAGTCCCAGCTGCTGCAGTATGTGTACAATCTGGTCCCCAGGGGCCAGTATACGTCCGGGAAAGGCTCCAGTGCAGTCGGCCTCACTGCGTATGTGATGAAAGACCCTGAGACAAGGCAGCTTGTCTTGCAGACTGGTGCCCTTGTCCTGAGTGACAATGGTATCTGCTGTATTGATGAGTTTGACAAGATGAATGAAAGTACAAGATCAGTACTACATGAAGTCATGGAACAGCAGACTCTTTCCATTGCGAAGGTGAGGCCCATTCTCCATGTGTAAACATGGGCACACTTAGAAATGTAGCATCTGTATTCACCTTGGTTCTAACTTTGGAAAACTCATGAATACTTTTCCTATTAGGTTTCAGCTAAATGTCTTTGAGTATTTCCTCTTTCATCTTTTTTGCTATACTAACCCACTAATACGTGGTATTCACAGAACTTGAGTTTGTCCTAAAGGTCATGCAGGGGGTTTAGTTTCTGAGAAGAATGTGGTTCCAGCATACATTTGTCTAAAATACAGTTGTTGGCGTGAATCTGAGGATGGCATTGTCCCAGATATATCTGTTGATACCATCCTTCCAAGGTGATGTGTATGGCTCTTGGTGACAGTGAATATATGGCAAAGGGCACACCAGGTGAAGATAGCTCACACTGTTCCTGCTAGGACCAGGGTGAAGCTTCTAACTGCACTGTTTTCTCTGACAGGCTGGGATTATTTGCCAGCTCAATGCCCGTACCTCTATCCTGGCAGCAGCAAATCCTATTGAGTCTCAATGGAATCCTAAAAAAACTACCATTGAAAATATCCAGCTACCTCACACATTATTATCAAGGTATGAGAACATAAAGATGCTCTTACTTTTGCTCATTTGTAGAATTTTCAGGTTGAGATAAAAGGAAATAATAAAATTCAATAAGCTCTTCCTCTAATGCAAAGTTTTCTAATATGGGTAGTCAGGTTTTCATGGCAAGGACTGTGTTTCTCTACTCAGCCGTGGGTAGCACCTTAACATTTATTCATTCTTTGAAGCTGTTAGGACACCTTTCACCTTGACATCTTTTTCAGAAGCCCATCACTTACTGCTCATCTCAGTCTTAAAGTCGCTAAAGAATATCATCAAAGTACAGAGAAAAGCTTCACATGACAGATAAGGTTCTAAAAAATTAAATTTGTTAGAGTTGTGTAGTCCATAGTTTTTCTCAACCATACTGCTACAAATATTTCATTAATAGATTGTAATAGTATTTCATAAATAGTATTTTAGATTATAATAGTATTTACAGTATTCATAAATGGATTTTAGATTTTAATTATTCAGCTTTTTCCCAAAGTTGTGTTTTGTTTTTTTTTTTCCAAAACAGTTAAATGCTTTTTCCTTTAAATCTTCCAATCTTCAAAATTACAATAACAGTTCCCTTGGAAGAATCTTACTTCTCTGACTCGGCTATTTGGTGACCAGCCATTTCCTGGGCAGACCTAATGGCCAGAAGAGTGGGTGCCTGCTGGGGCCAGATTAGGGAGAAAGGGATTGATCTGAAGGCTCACCAGACAACTGGACAGCAGACTCTTTAATTCTCCCTCAGCAGCCCTGACTACACACATGTTCACTGTACATGCCTAGGTGGCTCAGGAGCAATTTTTTTTTTAAGATTTATTTAATTAGAGAGCACTTAGGGGAGGGGGTATAGCAGAGAGAGAGGGGGAGAGAGAATCTCCAGCTGACTTGCCACTGAGCATGGATCCTGGACCCCGATGCAGTGCTCAATCTCAACCCATGAGATCATGACCCAAACCAAGACTCAGAGGCTTTAACCGACTGGGCCATCCAGGATCCCCAGGAGCGATTTTTAAGTTACATATGTGGCTGTGTTGGTGTCCCAAGCAGGAAAACAGTGTTTTTACAATATTTTCTCAGGTTTGATTTGATATTCCTCATGCTGGACCCTCAGGATGAAGCCTATGATAGGCGTCTGGCCCACCACCTCGTCGCTTTGTACTACCAGAGCGAGGAGCAAGTGGAGGAGGAGTTCATGGACATGGCAGTGCTGAAGGACTACATTGCTTACGCCCATAGCATGGTCATGCCTCGTCTGAGCCAGGAAGCCAGCCAGGCTCTCATTGAGGTCCGTGTTTAAACCCTGAAAAATGTTTTTGTTGAGCCTATAGCCAGTAGCATTAATGTAACTAGCTGACTATCTCCCTTAAAAAAGTAATTTGATTAATAACCTGTTTCCTATAACTTCTTTTTCCTCCTGCATTGCAAAATTGACTTTTCCAAAGATAAAAAAGGGGAAAAGATTTTTTTTTATATATGTCGTAGGAACTTTTTATAATTAAATATTTGTAAGCACAGTGAATTTAAGATCAGAATACATGAGTTGAAACAGAAGTTATGCTAGTTAGTAACTTTGTAACTCTGGAGAAGTCATCTAATTTTTCTGAGCTTCCATTTGCTTGTTTCTAAAAAGTAAAATGACTTGTGAGTACTTGTGTTCACTTTTCAGTATCCTTTCACATGGACAACAGTGCATAATGACACCTTCAGTTATTCATACGTTATGCTATTAAGAAGGTTCCTGGTGTTTGATGGCTTTACATCCTAACTAAGTCCCTGAAAATACTCAAAGTTATAGATGATTCGTAATTTTCCATTTGTATCATATACTTAAGAGTTGCTCAAAAAAAATAAAGTTATGTTATATATATGTGAGTTTAATACAACTCAGCTTTATTCATTATTCATTATTCCAGTAATCTTTGCATACCTCACTCATTAAATGAACCCTCAGCAGGGGCATAAACCAGAGTTGGTGCCTGAACACCTTTTTCAGACAGGCGCTCTGATAGTCCTCTGCTGTAATTGTGACCTGCCCTTTACCCCAACACACCATGTCCCCTGATTGCCAGCCTCACATACCTCCCTGCCCACTCCCATTCTTCATTGCCACATCAGATACCACCTTCTTGATGAGCTATAAAGCCTGAGGCTAGATCTGACTTCTAATTCCCCTTAGTACTGCACCTGGCAGCTGGTAGTTTACTTAATAGAATCCTAACTGTTCAGTTTAGCCACAAAATTGAAGTATTGTTACAAGGAGTTTTGGGTGTTTTTTTTTTTTCTCCTGTCTACACTAGGCTTATGTAGACATGAGGAAGATTGGTAGCAGCCGAGGAATGGTTTCTGCATACCCTCGACAGCTGGAGTCATTAATTCGACTAGCAGAAGCCCATGCTAAAGTACGATTCTCAAGCAAAGTTGAAGCAGTTGATGTTGAAGAAGCAAAACGTCTCCATCGGGAAGCTCTAAAGCAGTCTGCCACTGACCCCCGGACTGGCATTGTGGACATATCTATTTTAACTACAGGTCTGTTGTTTGCATTGAACATAAGAGCACATGAGAATTTTTTAATATATATATATACACTTAACATACAAGTAATTTATATTTCATATTTGAGCTAACAGTTAAATCATTTGAAGTGGCAGAGGTTCTTAACCTTTTTCAGATTAAGGCCTCTTTGAGAATCTGTTAAAAGTTGAGAAAAATACACCTAGCATACAGCATGCACACACACAGTGTTGTATCTAATTTCACAGTGCTCTTCTGCTATCTAGGCACCTGTGTTAGTCCACTTTAAAGAAGTAATTCATTTCTTAATGAGCACTGACTACTTGCTATACAGATTATGTGGACTGTTTCAGTGGAAACAAGCAGTTACTGGCTTATAGAGAATTGGAAACAGCAGAGAGTTCAGAACTCACAATTTTGAATATATTTTCGCATTCATCCACTGTCCCCTAAACTTTTTTGTAGCAGCACTGCTAAAGAAATATTTATGGAAATTTGAAATATTTCAAATTTCTTCTAGCAGAAATATTTCCATTAATTTTTTTTTCATTTCTTTTAAATCAGGAATGAGTGCCACCTCTCGTAAACGGAAAGAAGAGTTAGCTGAAGCATTGAAAAAACTTATTTTATCTAAGGGCAAAACACCAGCTCTAAAATACCAGCAACTTTTTGAAGACATCCGGGGACAATCTGACATAGTAAGTGTTTTATAAGTATTTTTTGCATAATGGAGTTTTTCTTTTTTAACTTAGTACTTCTTTTAAGGTTTTTTTAAGTGTTTTTCTTTCAGTATTAAATGTAGATCTGGATTTTTAAAAAAAGTAAAATCACCCATAAACCCATGAAAGAATAACAAAATTTTGTTGTATTCCTTTGTTTTTGCATGTGTATATGTACACATGTGGTCTTTTCTTTGAAAAATGAACGTAGTAGAGTTACACTGTTATGTAACTTGCTTTTTCTTTGGTTTTTAATTAAAAATATGCTATTAACATCATCTGTGATGGTAAATAGACTTAATAACATTATTTATAATGATTGGGTAAGATCCCTTTGCATGCCTATTCCATCATTTCCTAACCAATTGTTGGACATTTAGGATGTTTGCAGCTTCTTCCTCTTATACATAGTGTTAACCATGCATGTTATTTTAATGATGATATGATCAGGTTCCCTTTTGTAAATAAAGTTGGGTTGCCCAGTGAAAAGAACTCGAGGGTCCAAGTCCAGCCATTTGCCCGCTTTCATAACGCCTCTTCACTTGCATATTTTCTGCAGCTGCATTAGCACTACAGGGGCAGAGTTGAATATTTCTATATTTCTACAGACCATATGGGTAGACGTCCAGCCTGTCTGTTTACCATCAGGCCCTCTACAGGAAATAGTTGCCCCTCCTGAGTTAGAACCTAAGGAATGTATATAGCCACCAAAAAGAAAAGAGACTGGTGATTCTTTACGTTGAAATCAATGTGTATCTAACAGTTAAGGGAGTACTTGATGTGTAAAATAATTGTTTTCATCTCTTCCCCCAAGGCTATTACCAAAGATATGTTTGAAGAAGCCCTGCGTGCCTTGGCTGATGATGACTTCTTAACAGTAACTGGCAAAACTGTCCGCTTGCTCTGAAGCTCTTGTGAGCAGTGCTGTCCGTGTGTGTCTGCACTTGGGTGTTGTACTTGTGTACATATGTGTGCTGCATAGGGGCCAATGAGCTGCCACTGTTGCTGTCAGTGGAAATAGATTCTTAAAGTCATTATTAGGCTCCATAAAAATTTTCTAACCTGGGTTCAGTTTTCATAATGAAGTGTATGTTTTCACTTGTTTACCATTTTAAGTGAAAATGCTGTGCCAATTTACAATTTACAGTAGAAGCTATTTTTTTTTTAAGTGCCATTATTTTAGCACCAGGGCTTTTAATCTGTATTGCCATATATATATGTATGTATGTATGTATGTATATGTGAGGATGTCAAGTCTTTTTTGGAGATGGCAGTCTGGGTCATGGGTCATGTTTTTTGTGCTGGACTTTCTAAAGGCAATCATCCATATGCTTAAAGTTTTTGTAATATGAGATAAAACTTAGCCAGTGCATATCATTCAGTGTGAGGTAATGAAGGACCAGAGCCTTTCTCTCTCTTAACAGCTCTCAAGTGTAATTCCTTCTAGAGGCTTGTTCTCATGGCTTCCATAAGATTTAAAAAAAAATAGGTGGTTGGAAATGATTAGATTCTAGGTTAACTTCTACTTTTTCCTAATATGTAAACTTTTTCCTAAATAAATGATTGAATAAGTAATGTTTGGTTATCTGGTATTATTTTTCATTAAGAGAAAAAGCTTGAATAAACACTGTATTCATGGAAATTCATGATAGTAGTGAGTACTTTAGAACGCACAAAAAAAATTCACTATAAATTCCAATTTATTTCAATCCTAGCAGGCATTATCCTTTTTTTTTTTTAAGATGTTATTTATTTATCAGAGAGAGAGCATAAGCAGTGGGAGTGGCAGGCAGAGGGAGAAGCAGGCTTCCTCCTGAGCAAGAAGCCTGACGCGGGACTGACTGAATCCCAGGACCCTGGGATCGTGACCTGAGCCAAAGGCAGACACTTAAGCAACTGAGCCACCCAGGCATCCTGTAGCACGCGTTATTCTTATAAAACCACCATAGGCTGGAATTTTATATGGAAATAGGACTATAAGAAATAATCTCTGAAACACTGAAGTTATATGAGTTAGCCTTTTTTTTTTATAATTTAGGGTCAACATTCATTAATCCAGTATCCATAGGAAATGATAGGACTAACTGAATGGTTAAATAGCATTAAAATGTTAATATTGGAATGATATTTAGAGGCTTTTTTTTTAGATTTTATTTATTTATTTACTTATTTCTTTATTTTAGAGAGAGCATATGTGAACAAGGGGGAGGGGTAGAGGGAGAGGCAGAGAATCTCAAGCCAACTCTGTGCTAAGTGCAGAGCCCATCGCAGGGCTCAATCCCATGACCCCAAGATCATGACCTGAGCTGAAACCAAGAGTCGGATGCTTAACTGACTGAGCCACCCAGGTGCCCTTAGAGTCAAATTTTCATCAGACTCTTTGTTTTTGTCAGTCATCATTCTTATCTGTGCTGTTCTTGACAGGTTTGCAAAATGCCTTATATTTTGAAGGAGGCAGTAGTTAGGTTGGGGCTTCACCAAAGGATCCAGGCCCACTGCCCAGCAAGTGACTTTACTAGTGAAGTTTCCTCAGCGAACTCACTGTGTAGGACACCCTTTTATATGTAATTGTCAGCCACTCTGTAGGTTCAGTCTTTCCTTTTTATAGATGAAGGAAGCAAGAAGTCTCATCTCTTGCCTGAAGACCCAAAGCAAGAGATGAAGCTGGAATTAAAAGTCAAGTCTTCTGATTAAAAATTTAACTTTATGTAACTATGCCATGCTCTGGCTATAACTCAGGTTTTTAACTGTTCAGTGCTTTTGGACACATTGCTTACGTTTCCAAATGACGCGGAGAAGTTTCCTTGGTGCCTGTCATGTGACACATTCTTCATAAATGTTCTACTGAGGAGAGAAGTTTGAATCTGTTGAACTGTGTTCTTGTGACCACATGTTATTCAGACTAGAAATGTTTTACTCACATCTCTTGAGTTATTCAGAGATAACTGGTTCTTAGGCTATACTTGAGCTTGCCACTGATAAGCTGTAAATAGCATACATTATGAAAACTACACGTGTAGGGTTTTGTGAGGCAAAGTTACCTGAAAGTAATTGGAAACCATCCTATGGCCACTGAGAATGAGCTGTCTTGACTTTTCCCCCAATCACATACTGAATAAGGTCACAAAAAGATGAGTCCCTTGTACAAATATAAACTAATTAAAAAGCACTCCATTGCTGCCACTAGGTACTAGGTACTAGGTAGCTAGAAATCAAAGTGTCATAAAGTTCCAGAGCTGATTATACACTTCTGCAGAGTTGTTAAAATTGATACAGGAAATAAAGACAGATTCTTTCTCAAATTCTTATCCTGCAGTAATGGCTAGGAAATTGGAAGCCATATTTGCAATTGAATATGTCCTGATAGTACCTGAAATTGCTTGGGAAATAATGTATACTCAAATAGTTGTTGACTTAAGATTTTTCTCCCTGAAGTTTATACATTAGTAATTTTTTTTCTAAACCTTTTAATTCAATGCCAAGATGGAAATACTATACAATGCAAATGAAATGTATATGTAGTTTGGTTTTAAGGGAATTTTAGTTGAACGAAAATAATGTGGCTATCCTGTTGCTGAGTGGTTCCATCATAGTGAATTTAACTTTATTTTGGTGAATTTCTTGGTCACATCTATGACTTGCCCAGTGGTCTGTAGGTCTCTGAAAGCAGGGATGGTGATCACCTCAGTGCAGTGCCTGGCAATAGATGTGTGTTAACATATTTGTAAAGAGAAAATTATCAGAGAACATTCTTGAAATCAGTGAAATCTCAGGATGTGGAATGGAAGAATAAGAGGATGTGTTAAATTAGAGCTCTGCCCCCTGAATTCTGATAAATGCTCCCCGAGAGGTGTGCCTCATAACTCAGCTGCAGCATCTCATACCCCTCAGGAGTATGAGGTAGGAGAGGTCGAGAGCCACTACCTTGGTCTGAAGAGCATCCCCCTATTTGTATCAGGTGGTTTAAGAGGCACAGGTGCAGGCTGCCAGGCTTACATCCTGGCTCATGGCTTACTGCCAACCTACAGTGCTTAGGACACTGGTATAGTAAGTGCTCGGTACTGTTAGTGTGAACAGAATAAGGAGAATATGGGTTTTTCTTACTAGGACAATACAGTTTCAGCTTAATTTCCTATGAATACGTTTCTTCAAAAACACTACAGTATAATATATTCCACTTGACTTTTTTTCTCTGATTTTGACCCTGAGAGATAAACTTGCTAGTTAGAATGGCTTTATTTGATTTACACAAATATACACATGCTGTTCTTCCAGTATCCATCATAAATATAATCAATTCCATCCAAAGGAGTCAAAATTTAGTAAGAATAAAGAAACCAGAATTTAATGACTTAGCAAACAGGTCGGGGCATATTTAAGAGAGTGCTGTTACTTATTAAATCTAAGGTAATTTCTTAAAATACATTTGCAATTCAATTTTTAAAACTTTTTTTTTAAGATTTTTTTTTTTATATTAGAGAGAGAGAGTGCAAGAGGGGTGGGGGGCGACCAGAGGGAAAGGGAGAGAGGACATCCCAAGCAGACTCCACACTGAGCAGGGAGCCCAATGTGGGGCTCAATCCCACAACCTGAAATCAAAAGTTGGACAATTAACTGACTAAGCCCCCAAGTGCCTCAGTTTTTAAAACTTCTTGAAATAAATTTCAGACTTATACAAAAGTTGTAAGAATAGTGAAAATAATTCCCATATATCATTTACTGAAATTACTTTAGTGTTAACGTTTTCTCAAATCTGCTTTTATCATTCTCTATAAATTTTTTTTAATCATTTGAGAGAAACAGGATGCCCCTTTACTTCTAAAAACTTGCTAAAAACCATGTATATCCTAAGACAATGACATTGCCTTCTATAATGACAACAATTTCATAACATAATTTTTAAAATGCTGTTACATTTGTACAAATGTTCAAATTTCATCAATTGTCTCAATCATGTTTTTCTTAGTAAACAAAAAAATCTCCATTTCTGTGACAGCATCACAAGTTGCATTTCATTTTCATATCTAGTCTACTTCAATCTGGAATTTTCCTAGGTTATTTCTCTTCATGACTTTGACATTTTGAAAGAGTACAGACCAGTTCTTGTTAAAATATCCCTCAATTTGGGTTTCTCTGATGTCTTTATGATTAGATTCTGGATATCCACTTCAGCAGGAACCAATGAAGTGACACTGTGACCAGTGCATCATATCAAGAGAGTCAATAAGCCTGACGCTTTACTGATAGGTTAACCTCAATCACTTGAGTAAGGTGGTGTCTGCCAGGTTTCTTCATTGTAATTTACTATTTTTTTTTCCCCTACTAATTCTATGTATCTTGTGGGGAGATAATCTGGGCTATGTAAATACTGTTTCTCATCAAATTTTGTAAGTAAGCTGCACACATGATCCCATTTACCCTTTACCCTTTAATACTGGAATTGATCTTTTTATTTTTTTTATATATTTTTTAGAGATTTTATTTGAGAGGGCACAAAGGGAGAAGTAGACTGTACTGAGCAGAGAGCCCAACGCGGGGCTTGATCCCAGGACCCTGGGATCATGAATGAGCCTAAAGCAGACACTTAACCAACTGAGCTCCGAGGTGCCCCTGGAATTGATCTTTTTTAAAACAAATCACATTACTGTGATTTGGCAATGCCATACAAATTACATTATCTCATTTCCTAAAACCTTTTGAAGATTACCTATTCTAATTAAAATAAAATAGAAACTCCTAATCACTCATAATTTCTAAAATTCATTTATTTTTTAATTTAAATTAATTAACATATAATGTATTATTAGTTTCAGAGGTAGAGTTCAGTGATTCATCATCAGTCTTATATAATACACAGTGCTGATTACATCATGTGCCCAACTTGATGTCCATCACCCAGTTACCCCA